AGAATTAAAATGGGTGGGTAGGGCAGGTCGCGCGAAAAAGGGATCGCTCTACGATCAACGAGCACAAGGAGGGGATGGTGGAGGTGAAAAAAGATGTTGAAAAATGAGGAGCGTTGAAGAGAAAACTTAGCGTTTGATTTGTGCAAGTTGTAACATGGCTCGTACAGCCGGGTTATCTCTGATATAGATTCTCCAGGCAGAAGAGGACCACCGTCCTAATGCCATAATGACATCTTCAGAGACTCCAAGGGAAGCATAAAAGGTAGTGCCTCCTGTGCGGGTGGAATGTCCTCCAAAAGACTTGTTAACAAAAGAGAAAAGCATGGAATGAAACCATGCACGCGTTGGATGGGTGCCATCTTCTTGAAGAAAGAGTGCACAACGTGCTCCATGTAACTTGTCTCAATGAAGAATGTAAGCCAAAAGGAGGGACACCGGATCGGCATCTTTTTGTGTCAAAAACAGGATGTCGGTTCCTCTGAAGAAAGCGTCCGTTTTGTGATATGGCAAGTTGTAAACAGTGTAACCTTTGTCATAATGAAAGGATGCTCATTTGATTACCTTTTCCCAATCAAGTGAGTTTTTGGTCTTGAGAACAAGTTCTCCCAATCTGTGACAGCCGTAAAACGTGCATGACATAATAGTGGCAAAAAGAAGGTCATCGTAACTTGAGGTTTTTTTGGCATGTTGTACAAATCTTAAGAGGTGGTGTGTTCAAAGAGGCTGTTTACGTTTGACGGGGTCAGCTCGCACTTTTCTCGATCCTCTAATTGTTGCTTGAACAATGGGATTTGCACAATTTTTGTTGAAATGAGGATAGAGGTCTCTTAGAAAGTGTTGAATGCCTGTTAAATATTTTGGGCCTAAGGCAATGTATAAGGACAAGTACAAAATATAACGAGATAATATTGTGGGGGTAGGATCAATCAAAAGGTGATGTTTTTGGCAAAATTGTAAGTAGTCATGTGCACCAGAAATGTAGCCAGATCTCATCATGTTTTCAATCACATGAATTTGCAAATGAAGAGCTCTTGAATCAATATCTTTGAGCTTCAATCTTTGGCAAGGTACTCTTGGAGAGCCCTTGCCAAGTGCCTCTAAAAGCACCCCCTCCATCATGCCAGCAAGAGTTCTCTGGGTGGAATGAACAAGCAGATGCCATCTTCTGGAAACTTTCTGTGATATTCATCAAACAAGAGTCACAACAGCATATCAGCATGGATGTTTTCCTCTCTGGGAATGTGGCAAACACGGACTTCTATCCCTGTTCTGAAGATGATACTGGCAACTCCCATTAGGGGTACGTTATGCATTGCCTTGGCTGCACCAAGTGTGTTGAAGACTGATACAGAGTTGAGACTGTCAGTCCATATAAGAATATGTTTTGGTGGATGGGAAAAGTTCTTGGCAATATAATTGATTCCTGACATGATTGTGACAAGTTCCAAGAAGAAGATATCAACAGTTGGCACTCCTTCTTGTGCATTGAGCTTGTAAATGAATCCTTCATGTCCATACACAAACAAGAGACCCTTTTTTACCACTGGCATCTGTCCACATGACAAGATTGGTATGATCATTGGCCCAGTGAAGTGAATCAACAAAATAGATACCTATCAATGTTGGAATAGTCTCAAAAAGCCAAGAAAGATCAGAGATGACTTCTCTGTTCAATGGGATACTGGCATTCATTATCATTTTGCCTGCAGTTTTATGATAGAGCTTGCATAAGGCTGGTTGTCCCCATGGCAGGACATTGAGGACCCAGTTCAAATGGCCTGCAATTCTAAGCCAGTGACAAAGTGGCAGATGCTGACATTTTGTTTCCAGGAATTTGGACGTTTTCTTCACAACTTCAGTAATGGAATCATCTGCAAGGGAAATGCTTCCTATGTTAATATCAACAAGGAATCCAATGATTTCTAGGGATTTCCCCAATTCTAAGTAGCAAGACTGGTAGTGCTTGCCTTAGCAACTGACTTCCTATGGTTCCTTGAGCCAGGAGGTGCATAGGAATATAGGGAAACTTTGATATGCAAATTCCTGCTTTTTGGCTTTCCAAGGACAACCAATTTCATCCCAGAAGCATAATAACTTGACTTGTTGCTCAGGACACCAGAGCCTGTGATATTTGATAAGACAACAAGCCAGATCCCATGAAAAATAATCATCCATGTAGTTGTGGAGATCTAGAATTTTGAATATCTTGATAGCAATCCAGCACATCAGGCCTGCAATGGAACACCAACACTGAGGTGAGGCACTGTTCCCAAAAACAAGACAATGGATGATTTGTAGTTGCTTATCTACAGCTACAACTTGTCAAAGTTGATATAATGGATGGGCTGGAAGGTTAAGGAATGCAGACAAAACATCTGACTTCCATAAAACCAAGTCTTCATTTGGATGGTTCTTTTTGGCTTCAAAGATAGCCTGACCAAATGAATGCATATTGTCATAGTGCACCTTTGCTTCTGACTTCAGGATCCCATCATTGAGACTTGATGCTGTGTGGTCTGTGATAATCCTTGCCTTTCCTTTTTGCCAGACCACAAAGATAGGAGAAGTCTTCATGTCCGGTAAAAGATGGTTTCCTTCTATAGGGTCTGACCATCATCCAGCTCTGATTTCATCATCTCAAAAGACGCATATAGCTTTGAGGTTGACCTCTTTGGTTGCATAGTTATTAGGGCTATCTTTGGTGTCTATGTTCCACATTCCATCATCAAACAGCCAGAATCCAAAGCAAAGCCCATTCATCACAGACTTGATGAACAGTTGATTGGGGTGGTCAACTAGAAGGCTTTCAAACTTGTCAACATTGAAAGGCATGTTGACTTTAATATATTTCTCCATTGAATGGAGTGTTGACTGTATGACTGGGACATCTAAAAGATGTTGCAGTAGCGAGGGTAATGGTAATGCTGTTTCAGTAGCCAACACCAATGGCAATAAAGGAGGAGATGTGAATTTATCATTCAATAGATATCTGCATTGATATCTCAGATTTTTGTAGTCAGGGAGATTGGTCACCTTTCTTTTATGGTTAAGTAGTAGTTGAGGACCTTCAAACTTTGCTTTAGCTGCCTTGAGTGAAGCTGATGCCAATTATTCACTGTTGGCTATGCTTTCTTTTAAGGCTGACAAGGCATCCTAGGTTATCTTTGGCTTGGTGAGTCCCATGACATTTGCTGCAAATGTAGTGCCTCCTGTGGTTGCAACATGTATTACCTTTGCAGCTTGCATATCTAAGATTCCAGTTCTGACAGATGGTGGTAGGGTGTTTATGAGTGGTTGAACTAGCACTAGTTGAAGGTCTTTTAGGTAAATGCAAATGTCCCAAAAACAATTGACCAAGCATTGGGAACAAGAGCTGATTGAGATCATCCATCCTGAAAGGGCCCCTCATGTAAGCTTTGCAAACCTCTCAATTGAATGAAATCACAGAATATGGTGAGGGAGACAACTGGAAAATTTTGATGATGTATTCCCTATAAAGACAAAAGTTTGTCTTCCCAATGACAGTAGAAGACCAGTACTGCAGCTCTCCAAGCATCAAAAAGGCACATCTAATCAGATTCTGAAGACATGGCCTTTTTCTTAGTGAGCGAATCCTTTTTAATAATAGTAAAGTCTTCATTAAAATCTTTAGATTCATCATTATGGTCATAACCTTTTTTGAAAGTCACAAAAGGGTGTTCAAAGTCAACATATCTGTCTAGAATGATTTTCTTCCAAACAGACCTAGATACAGGATCAACAAATTGTCCAAGTTGAGCTCTATTGATGAGTAAGTCCATCAATTTTTCAGAGGTATATGTGGCCTTAAGACAATGTGATTTGTTGATAATAGGGTCTGAATAAATGGAAGATGAAGACAGATCACCCAGATGAGGCACAAGAGCAAGAACTGCTTTGGAAAAGGACAGAACAGCTCCATAGTCTTCATGTTCTTCTTCAGAATCAATATTGATAGTGATGCATTGTTGTGGTGATTTATGTTGTCATCCTTTATTGACAGCTGTGAGCTTTGCATGAAGAGCTGCCCAAGCAGCATTGTCAATTTGTTTATCAACTTCATTGCATGTAGTGTCATCTTGCTCATTTCTAGAAAGCTGACCCTGGGGAGAATCAACTTGAGCTGCCTTTCTTTGTCTAATCTCCAGTTGTTGCTTGAATTCATCCACATAATCTGTGGCTTTATTGACTGAGATACCAATTTTTCACAATTCAGACAAGAAAGCACCTGGATCCATGTCAGAATTGACAGCCCAGTTGAGCAAGCTTTGAGCATTGTTGGTCTTTGCTATAGTTCTGACTGTATTAATGGCTGCTGCAAGACCAGTTTGCATTGCTTGCTCTGAAGTTGGATCCAGCATCTGAGATGGAGTTGTATGTCTGGAAGGAGGCAAGCATAGGAAGGATGGGGTGCACCAATTTTAGACATGAGCTATTGCAATGGCAAGGAACAAGCTAATATTCACACAAAAAAGGGATTGCTCTACGATCAATGAGCGTGCTAGATGAGTGAGGCACATACAATGAATGGGGAAAATCTTACTTTGGATTTCAAGCTCAATAGAAATACAATAAATTCAAACAAAGTAAGAATGATGGAATGGAGGAGAGAGCAAAGAAATGATCATGACAGAGTAGTGTGTCAAATGGTGTGATAGAACAAATATGAGATATAGCACTACTCTGTTAAAGAGGCATTAGTGATATGCTGGGGAGAGAGCAGCAAATGTGCTCACAGTTGCAACCAAGTGGTGGAGAGGTACCAAGCAACAGCAGTAGGTGAGACCAGGTATCTGATCCACAATGCAGCCTTGGTCCCAACTGGAACACTGTGCATGGATCACCCAGGACTTGAAGATGGCAGAGGGCCTACCAAAAGATAGCACTTACACACCTATGCTGTATGCCAAAGGTAGCAGAGGCCTTTGAAAAAGCTCCTTACCCTTGGAACCTGCTTTTGCACTGATCAAAGAGGGAAAATTCTCTTTGCCTGGGAGTCAAACCCAGCTTTTGCATGGTCTTGCAAATGACAGGCATGTGTACTAACCAATACACTAGCAAAGACATTGATCTGGTGGGAATAGCATCAGTAACTTCACTTGTTCACTTCTTGCACCGCCTACCATTGCCTACCATTTGAAGTATCAAGGCTACCCTGGCAGCTCAAAATAGCACAGACTAGCCACAAATAGAAGGAGCATGGGTTGCAAATCTAGGTTGTGTAGAGATATACATTTAATTTAAGGTCCTAAGAATAAAAACCATTGCAATCATGGAAGAAATCATATATATGTCGTCTCGTTGTCACATCAAGGCAATAATTATTGATAAGATAAGATGGCATGGTACATTTCTTTGTTCCAAAAATTATTTAGAAAAAAGTGGTTGCAGGCATCCACTGAAGTATCTGCAGATAAATGAGTAGCATCCTCAATTGCAGTGGCCTTGAGTCTTGGGACAAGCTGAACAGCATGTTTAATTTGACTCAAATAGAATATGTTGGCCATATAGGGCCCAAGAGTGCTGAGTCATGGTGAAGCTTGTTGATGCTGCTTGAGAGACAAAACATATCAATGGGTGATGCAGGAATATAGACACTGGTATCAGTATGGTGGCTCATGTGTTTGGAGGAAAATTTAAAGCATAATGCATAGATGACAGGGGGATGCTGAGCTTGATCCTTTGGTACAACAGGTTGCAGAATAGCATGAATCTGAACTACAGCAATTTCTAAGGCCCAAATCAGGAACATGAGGAGGGACTATGATGCTAAATGATGACTTACTATGGATGATTTCAGAAGTAGCATAACCTAGATTGTCATGTGCTGCAGATATGATGACAGAGTTGCAGCACCCAAATGGCATATCAAGAGAAGGCGGGAGTGCCTGGATGGTTTGGGGAGGGAGGAGGACACAAGTATCCTGTGTTAAATAGTGCTGAAGCTGGAGATTTGTCCAGACATCGAAGTGCTCAGTAGGCAGGCAACAGCTGGATGAGCTGTGACTGACACCATTTCTCTCATTATAAGACTTGTGTTCAAAAGAATTGCCAAGTGCTGCATGTAAGTCAGGAAGATTATACTGAGTCATGATTGTATCAATGGACATCAAGTTCTGATGAGGCTTGATATTGAGCAACAATGCAGTCTGATCATCTGAGGACAGAACATGGCCACCTTTCACAAAGTAATTAGCAATAGGGCAAGTGCCAACCACTTGCTTGTCAGGCAGACAGTGAGATATCTACATCATTTTGGGGTAATTCATGCTCATGTTCTTGGTCTCATTTACCATCTTATTCAAAAGACTGGACCTGGAGTCCACCAGATGAGTAAAGAAGCCAAAGAGGCAAACCTTCTCAGCATAGTCCAAATATCAGACACATTGTTGTTTGAAGTCATGATGATTTGAGCTCCTGTAGGGAACTTTGACATGGATAATGTGGCAGCATTCCATCATGTCAGATGTCCATTGATGAGGGGCACTGAGGAGCACAACACTGTCAGCCACACCATGCATCAGTTCAATTTTTGGGATGTTTCAGTGTCCTATAGGTCTCCTGTTGCCCCTGCAACCTCCAGCACTGTCTATATTGTCCTAGAAATGATGAAATACAGCAAGATTGTGCCTGAGGGCTGTAATGGTCTCATCATAGAAAACAAGATTTTGAGCTTGAAAAATGAAGTCAAGGAGTGAACAGATTGGCTTCATAGCAGTATCAAGCAGAGCATTGCTGGCAGCAGCAATGATGATTTTCTCAAGCTTCCAATGTTCTTGCCCAGTGAGTTGCTTCAGCTTTGAGATGCTGTTTAGCCAGCTTCAAGTATTAATGTAGCACTGCTGGATACTCAAATAGCAGTCCAACTTCTTAGCACCAGTGATGTTCACGATCCACTTGATGACAGGAAGAGACTAGCACATACTATTGAGGTGATGGCCTGGTAGTTTGCATGCCCAAGACAATGGTGCCAGGTCTCTAGGTTGGCAGGATGGTTGTTGGAAAACAGAGCATGTTCTGCTGTAGTGCCAGATAAATGGAGAGGGTACAGGCAGCATGTAAGGTCATGGGGGCTAACAGCAACTGTCTGGTCAGCTGACCCATGTGACAACCTCATGGATTTATTATCAAATGTAGTCTTTATGCCAGAACTGAGTGCAAGCATGCTGACAGATATAAGGCAAACTATAGAATTTGGGATGTAAAATGTGTGCTCTAGGTGCAAGTCCATGTCATGTGCTACATTGAGTTGAATGGGTCCCATACCATCACCATTATAGATGATCCACCTACACCTTTGATAGGCTGTGCAGCAATAGGTTGAAGAGTGATGAATTCTGAGCAGAAGGGGGATATATGGATAGTGGCACCAGAATCAATACAGAAAGGTTTTTCTTTGATCAAGACCAGTAGAGTGGTGTCAGCCTAGTTGAGGGGTATAATAGACAGGGCTGACTCATTGACATCCTGATGGTTTATTGACTAGTTGATGGATGAATGTGGTTTATTGATAACTGCCATGAAACTAGCATACTTGTGTACAATAGACTGCAAATGAGAGGAGTTGACAAAGTAGGTTTTAGTATTGGAACCCTTCACAGTAATCTCACTCCTTGCCTTCACACCACCTGCCTTTCCTTTAGACTTCTCCTTGCTGGCTTTCCACACAGCTATGGTCTTGCTAATGGTTTTTCCTTCTTGGCCTCCTCCTTTTCTCATGCACCATTCCTTAGTATGACCTTTGCATGATTGCCCAAGTGCAATACATCATTTGCAACAAAGCTATCTTGCAGGATAGTTGTGAGATTGGCTAGTGGGGGGATGGGATGCAGTGAGAGCCATGTCAGTAGTGGTGCCAGAGGGATTGAGGTTGGAGAGATTGTCTATTGTTGTGAGGACCTTGCATATGCATGAGGAAGTGTAAGGGTGCTCCTTCATGGAAATGGTAACACATGACTGATGTGGAGTATGATCTCATTTGTGGCACCTATACCTGCTATACTGGTAAGTTTCTCCAATTCATCATTGTATTATAGTCTGGTCTACTGACTTAACTTTCAGGTTGTGGTGCTCAGACTGCCAATTGTTCATGGTTTCCCTCAGTTGCCACTTTTGAAGGAAGCAGGGAATATTATGGTCACTGGAATGGGCAACAGGAAGATAGTTTCTTCAGGCAAAGTAAAGAGATAAACAACCCCCATGGTGAAGTAGGCTCTTGTGGCCTCATTGGTACAAAGAAGTGGCAGGACCTGCTATGAGGAACTGGAAATTTGCACTTAAAAGGATACTCTGGATGACTGGTCTCACAAATTCATACTCAAGCATTTACAATGAACTTTTTGTATGACCAGAAAACTGTATATCATTTTCTTAATTGTATACTACACACTGAGAACTTGTTTGAATGCACATTACTGAAAATAACATGCAAGGAATGTATTGCTAACATGATTGTTGACAAACACCACCAAGCAAAATTGGCATGGAACTTATCTGTCAGCATAATTCCCACCAATATGGGTCAACACCAACTTGAATTCTTCTCCACCTTCTCATTGCTTGGGATAGTCCAAGCTATATCATCTTCCCTTCAGTGTCCTTGAGATAACCTGAGCAACATCATCTTCCTTTAGTGTTCCTTAGGATAACCCAAGCTACACTATCTTCCTTTAGTGTTCCTTGGGATAATCCAACACCAGCTTCCTTTAGTGTTCCTTGGAATAGCCCAAGCTACATCTCCTTCCTTACAACTCTTTGGTGTACATTAGGATAGCCCTAGATCACCATCATCATGTCTCTGTCATCCATTATACTTGGAAGATTCAGAATGTTTGTTAAGCTTTCAACTGGAGAGCCAGTCTCTCTTGCAGCTAATGATCTGGGAGATGGTACATCTTTCATCTCAGACAAGCCAGTAAATTACAAGTATATTTCCTTCTTGTCTTCATGTGATATTTCTCTTTAGGTTGCTGCAATGAGCCATCTCTTCTCAGCACAACCATCAAGATGAAAGTGCTGTTACCTTGCAGATGAGTTCATTTGACATGCCATTTGACATAGAGAGAATTCAGATAGGAACCACATAACCACTTTCTCCATGGATAGGAAGAGCTTTTATGTTTACATCATTGACTGCAAAAGTGTCATTACCATTGGCCCAATGGATCATGAGATTTGCACAGAAGAATTCCTGACACTTATTTTGTCATTATCTTTCATGCACCAGGGATACAATTCAACCATGACACATCAACCTTACAACCTAGTTAGTCTCCATTTCCTGTCTTTAAACTTTGAGAGCTCATGCATCACACAGCCTGCAAACACTTCTAATAGGCCTCCACCTTCTTCAACAGATGGGCCATCCTCAACCCCTGCATCAGTTATCACTTCACTGCCCATGCCTCTAAGCTCTCCATTACATTCCCCTTTTGATGTTCTCTCATCTTTGCCTCTACCTCTATCATTTGCTACAGGTTCCTCCAATGTTCCTTTGTCTATGCCTCTACCTTTGCAATCTTCTCCAGCATCTTCATCTATGCCTTCTCCTTTGCAACCTCCTCAAACATCTATGATTCTTTCAAAGAGAAAAAGCCATCACAAGCATGCTTCAGTAGAGAATACAATTTCCAACATCATGGTCATTAACTGCAATGGCAAGAAGTACAGAAATTTTTGCCTCATAAACTCTCACTGGGCAGGCAACATGGGTGTGGGAGGCCCATGACAAGTAAGGAGTTCCAGTGATCATCAAAGAATCATGGATACTTCAAGGGCAAAGACAGACAGAAGCAAACCTGATCAAAGAC